CCCTGTAAATGTGGACAAAGATTTCACAATTCCTTCCCCCCCTGTTCAAATTCAAGGCATTACTAATGTCCTCGTGTCGCCTAAGAGTCAAATGGACTAGAACACAAAGAAATTGAACCTGTTGTTGATTATCTAGTTGGAGATGAGCCTCCACCCTGCTTCCTGTATTCTGGTACATGTCTGTTTGTTAGGACTCCACCAGAGGGTGGAGACAGGCAGCGAGGTGAAGCTCAAGCCAGTTCAGTCGTCAGCTTACTAACATATCTGATTTAAAACACAGCCAAAGCGATGTTTGACCTTACCTGAGGATTTCAACCACCACCACCACTGGGTCTCACGTTACTTCAGATAACATTGGAATCCTGAGTTGACTGAACAGGGTGGGTGAGGGAGGCCTGCAGCACCACTCTGGGGTATTATCATCCCCCGCCTTCTGTCCAACCTCCTCCAGTAACACAAAGGAAAATTCAGCCATGACCTGCCTTGGTGTCATGTCACTTCATATTGCTTGATCTCAAAGGGGTGTGGAACGATGTCATTGGCAAGGGCTTGACATCGAAGGAGAGTGTGAAGCTGAACATACCAAGATAAGATCAGTAAGGAAGCCGGGCAGCCAGATGACTTGGATATTAATACCCACGTGCAAGATAGCCGATAAAGCCATGCAAAGGAAGTGTCACCATATTTACAGTCATCTTTCAGAGAAAGGGTATTTTTAGGCGCTGGGTGGTATGTTCTTTTAGATCTGGGTCATTCCGATTCTGACTTTAATAGATCCCTTAGATCCAAAGTAAAATTCCTTCAGGAGCTCCAAAAGCAAGCACAATTCAACTCTGCTCAGGGAATTACTTCTAGCTTTTTCTTCTAAGTCTGCATGCATTTTAAATAGGCTGCCCTCCTGACTATTCTAAGTCACAGAATGCTAATTCTGAAATTGTGAGGGTCTTCTTTCATCATCAAAAATCACAGATTATTTTTCCTACAGTTAGGAATATTCCTAGTCGTACCTCTACTACTCATGAAGTAGCTCAGCATCAAAGCCTGTTCATGGGGTAAGGGTGTCTGGAAACAGTCTAATGCAGCCCCCTATTTAAAACAGCAGGAACCCTGAGGTTCAGGGAAGCTAGGCAATTGCCCAAGGGAACTTAAGTCACTGTCCAATTGCTCATTCAGTCCTCCCAACAATTCTGTAAGGTAAGGCCAATTATTATGTCCACTCTACAGATGAGAAAACTGAGGCCCGCAAGATCAGATTATATACATAAAACTCAACAGCTAGTAAGAAGTAGAGCTGAGATTACAACCAATTTTCTAAACTACTAAACTTCCAAGGTTAAAATCCAGAACTAACACAACAGACAGCTCTCATTTTCAAGTAGTTCTAAGGCTCATTTGAAAAACTGCAAAACTTTTTACAATTCTGACTAGAACAAAATGACTATCAAAGATTTTTTAAAATAATTTGGAAAACGTGAACCGCATATCAATAACTTATTGCTAATTTTATTATCATGGGGCCAGCAATGTGATGCAGCAGCTAAAGCCGCCACCTGTGACATCAGCATCCCCTATGGGCACCAGTTCACATCCCTGCTGCTCCACTTCAAATCCAACTCCCTGCAACTGGTCTAGGAAAAGCAGTTGAAGATGGCACAAGTGTATGGGCCCCTGCCACCCACATGGGAGACCCATATTAAGCTCCTGGCTTCAGTTTGGCCTAGTGTTCCCCATTGTGGCTATCTGGGGAGTGAACGAGCAGATGGAAGATCCCTGTCTCTCCTCTCTCTGTAACACTGAATTTCAAATAATTGCTTTTAAAAATTCCACTTTTTTAATACTACATACTAGGTATACAAGGTTGAAATAATACAAGGTCTGGACTCACAACCTCTAGAAAAATGGGAAAAAGAAACAAGTTTAGCCAAATTTTGATAACTGCTGAATCTGGACAATGGAATATGAGGATTCATTATAATATTCTCTCTACATTTCTGTATGTTTATTTTCAAGTCTTTCAAAGTAACACAAAATCACCAATAAAAGCTCAAAACCTGAGACCACAAAACGTGTGGCTACTGGACAATGAAAACTTTATAAGCACATGTCATTTTTACATTTTAAAGTTTGCTTTTTAATGGCAATCTTTATTACACACTGAACTATTTAATTCTGTTGTTTCTGATCTCATGATTTTCCACACAATAACACTTGAAGCATGGGAAGAGCTAGTTAAACCCACACATTAATTATTTTTTCAGGTCGTCTTCAGAACTGCTTTATTAGTCAGCTAATTAAGAATATTTATTGAGCATTTGCTATGCTGTAGATATTGTATTAACACTGACCCAAGTTATCAAAGACACAGCAGGGTAATATTTCCATCCAACACAGATCACAGATCATGCGATCCTGAACCCCAGCTCAGTTGCTGCTCTGTCTCCTGAGAGGAGCAGGGTTACCTTCTTAGATCCTCATACAACAGAACTTGTGGCAAGTGCACCTGCCGTGACTTCCTGGCCAGCAATGGAGCCGCAAGAGGAAGCCGGCAGTGGCAGGCTATCTGCCAGGAGGCGAAAAGGAGAATCTGACAGGTCATTTTTAGTGTCTATAAACTCTCCTGGATTCCTCCTTCTGCAATACAAAACCTACCTGTGTTCCTGCATTTTATACTTGCGTCATCACAGGTTTCATCAGACAAGTGACCACAGACACAAGACTAAGAGTTGAGACACCAGCCAGGCATGGCTGTTCGTGCTTCAAGGTGTCCAGAGAAAACAGAGGTGGCACGAAAGCATCGTAGGGCCACACAGCAGAAGCATGTCATACCGAGGAATGAATGCCACTAGGTCGCTATCAGTACGCCATCCGACAGGAAGGGCAGATATGCAAAACCTGCTGCACACCAGTAATTAGCAGCATTGTGCCTGTGATGGCACTGCTGTGCTCCACCCAAATGGCTGATTAAGCTCATGCCTCCTCTTTGGTCAGGGTCTGTCAGCACTGTGGAAATCACGACACAGTAATGTGTTTTACTTACTCTACTTTTGCTTCAAATCCCCGATGAGCGCGGCAGGCCCCAGTTAAAAGAACCATGCTCCACGTGAACACAGAGAGGACGCCACAAAGGTTGTGGGCTTTATCCTAACACACTCACACCGGCCAAAGTCAGGAAGATGCAGGAAGTTGAGGGTAGGCCAAAGCAACACAAGTTAGCTTGGGTCATGGAAGAGGGTGGCCAGGTTCTGCACTACTCCCAACGACTGTTCCACTCCTTACCATCAATGAATCTCCTGCTTATTACAGACCAAATCCGAGTTTAAGAAATCTGGAGTTGGCAGAGTTGGCAAATAAGAGAAAACTCAAACAGAGCAAAAGGGATGTGGAAACCAGCGAAGCTTCCTCCCCAGTCTCCACAAACATCACTCATGCAATCCTGCCTCAATCGGCCACCAAAAGGACAGTTCGGCCCCTGTGCTAAGGGCCCAGGCACTGCGACCTAACAATCCCACACACAAGGCGCCACAGAACCCAGACAATCACCTCCAAGGCCCAACTTGTTGCGCTGTTCAACCCAACACTACAAGTCACACAAACACACACACCCCTCTACCCCCAGACAAGCCCCTTTCAAGAAATACAAAAGCCTGACAATGCAAGGAGCTGCTCAAAGTTTCCAGCCGCCCTGCAGAGCTGGCTCCCTCTCCCTCACCATCCTAGCCATCCGAGTGTGCTGCGTTTCCAAATATAGCAGAAGCGGCCCTGGCCGTGGAAAACTTGATCTAAAACTTCATCTTCCTCACACCCAGAGGCCTATTCTCCAAGGACGGACCTAACACGACCAGATTCCTCTTAGGCTGCTCGCTTCGCTCGCTTCAAATCCCCGAACCTCATCATAGTAACTTGCACCAAAGGCGAAAGCACCAGAGGTTCCTCTATCAGGCCCCCCAAAACCTTCCCAAGAGGCGGTCAAACCTCAGGATAAAGACATGGGGGCCGGGGCGGAGGAGAGGATGCTGAACGCCTTCCCTCCTGAGGCGCAGTCCACCACCGGTCCGCAGGGCCACCTCACTCGGAAGCCCCCACCTGCACGCCCCTGCCCCGCTGCAGGCCACAGGTGCGGAGCCCCTCTAGGGCATGCGGAAAGGGAGCAGAGCTAAGGGAAGAGTGCGGAGGGTATGCAAGGTAAAGTCCAGTCCCACTTGGCGGAAGGCAGGTAAACTGGGGGCGGGAGGCGGAGCGAGAGGGAAATTTCCCAGGGAGGACGGGGAGAGCATCCCCGGACAGGAAAGGGGTCTGGGAGCTGCGATCCCCCCAGGACTTCCTCTCCCCGGCTCAGCCCCCACCCCGCTCCTCTCCACCACCTCCTAATCCCCCGGACTCAGCGGGGTGGGCTGCCCCGCCTCAGCCCCGCCGACAGGGCCCGTCCGGGCTACCTGCGTCCCCCTCCCTGTCTCCGTCCCCCGGCCGTCCCGCACTCACCAGCAGCACCGAGCCGCGCACCACCTCCGACACGCTCTGCCGCAGCTCCGCCGCCGTGCCCGGCTTACTCAGCGCCCGGGTGAACTTCCGAGTCTCCGCCGAGGCGGGGAGCAGCGGCGGCTGCGACATCCTCCCCACCCCGCCGCCGCCGCCGCCGCCCGCTGCGCCCCGGGTCCGGCCGGGCCGCGCCGCCGCCAGGTGCGCCCTCGGCGCCCGGCCCGCTCTGCTCGCGGCTCCCGGCGCCGCCGCCGCCGCCGCGCGCCCGCTCCCCCCGCCGCTGGCCGCGCGTCCGGCCGCCGCAGCCCGGGCCGCGCCCTCCGCCCTGTGTCACGCCCCGAGGCGCCCCCCTCCGCGTGCGCGGCGCCCTGCGCTCGGAGCAGCGCCTGGGCTCGCCGGGGACCACCGTGCGTGTGGCGGCAACGGCAGCTGCTCCATGCCACCAGCCTCCCTACGCGGCCGCCGGGGCCGGGCCGCCTCCTCGGGGCGGGGTGTCCGGCGCGGCGCGGGGCGGGGCGGGGCGGCCGGCGGGCGGAGGAGGGGCCGGCGCGGCGGGGACCGCGGGCCGGGCAGGTCAGCGCGCTCGGCGCGGTGGAGAGGCGTGAGGGGCTGCGCGGCCGGCTCGCAGCGCGGGATCCCCACGGAGAAGGTGTGGGCCGCACGTCCGAAGACCCGAAGCGTGGGTCGCGCTCGCCGACTGGAGGGCCGACAGCCCGGGGTGGGGTGGGGTCCCCGGCCCGCGGCGATCCTGGGGACCCCGCCGCGGCTGGCGGGGTCGGGGCTCGGCGGTCCCGTGCGCCCCAGGGCCTCTGTCGGGACGGAGGCTCCGGAAACGGGCCCTTCGGGAAGCGCCGCCGGGCGGACCTGCACGGAGCGCCCCTGCCGGGATCCGCGTGGAGCACCACACGAACCCGGCCGTGGCGCTTCTCGGCCCAAACCCGGAGGCACGGGCTACCGGCGGGGACTGGGACGGGGCGTGAGAGGCGCGCGGACTCCGGCGTCACCGTGGACGTGGGCAAAACTTTGGAGGCTCTGTAGCCTGAGGACGAGAGGCGGCAAGGGGTTTCAATATGGCCCGACTGCCGCCCCTCGGCGGTGCTCCGGGTGACCTAGTGAATGGTCCCATGAGGGACTTGTCCTATCGCCTCCTTCCCAGCGTTCCCATTCCTAAGCGGCCCCTAGAACCCTTAGGCCCTCCCTCCCCCTTTTTTTTTTTTAATTTTTTTTTTTTTCCGAGGAAACCCGGCGCAGCCTAAACCTGACAGGGCCGCGGGGAGGGAGAGCGCGGCGCATGCTCAGTCGTGTGGATTTGGGCGGGTTCCTGGGGCGGAGAGCCTGTATTAGGGATGACTCTGCTGATTGGCCAGGTTGCTGGGGCCACGCCCATTGCCTGTGGATGGGCAGCGCCTTACCTGCCAGGTCGGCTTCCGCTGACCCCGCTGGCCTGGAAAACAGGGTCCTCAAGGGAGCCCCCTCTGGCCCAAGTACCCTGAGGCTCCCTAGCCGCTGTCACCGCGGTGGAGGAGCCTGCCTGCTGTGTCCCTCCCCGCTGGAAAGCCTAACACTGGCTTAACACGTAATCTTAAAGTGATAGGGAGAATGGCAATCTAGTGTAGAAAGCTAAACACCACTGTTCTGGACTTAATGGGCAGGTGTGGCACATAGACTGGAGGTGAGGCATGCAGTCAGCACTCAATAAGTGCTTGCTGGGTTGGACTGTTTCCCTAGTGAGCAGGGATCACAGGATGTAGCACTGACTAGCCTGAGGGGTTGGACGATAAACAAAGCAAGGAATGTGTGATCATAAAAGCAATTAGCCACTAACCCATTTCCTCTTCTGTGAGAGGATGACCTGGACACTCCCGGCCTGAAGTAGACCTGGATCAGGTGAACAGCAGGTGGGGAGTGCAGCAGGGGCGGGCCAGCTTTTCCCTGATGCTGTGCTGGGGGACCATTCACAACTCACATTTGTCTCTGAGCCACACGGGAAGACAGCTCTGTTCTGTTCAGAACTATTATATACTAAGCTGGGAGTCATAAATTAAGGTATCTGGTCTTGTGACTGCCTAAGAAGTCCAAGACAACACCAGTTTTTCCTCAGCTGTGTTTCCTTGGCTCTCTAAACAATATCTGCTTCCACAGAAGGCAGAAAGAGTATACTTTTTTTTTTAATTAAAAACAACAAGTGCATCCTATTTTGTGGGCTTTTGCTTTCTTTATGCTTTCCTTCCCCTTTTTTAAAAGAGCTATGGGCCCTGCACCTGCATGGGAGACCAGGAGGAAGCACCTGGCTCCCGGCTTCGGATTGGCGCAGCGTGCCAGCCACAGCGGCCATTTGGGGGGGTGAACCAACGGAAAAAGGAAGACCTTTTTCTCTGTCTCTCTCTCTCACTGATTAACTCTGCCTGTCCAAAAAAAAAAAAAAAAAAGAGCTATGGGATTGAAGAACACACACACACACACACACACGACTACTTTAAAAAGTTCATGAAAAATTGAAAGAATTTTTGTGAGACAACTTTTGAAAGCTGTGCATGTCAAAAAAATGCACATTTTTATACAAACATTTTGCAGGTTCCTCACATGCACAAATTTCATCCATTCACTCCTAAATTCTATACTTGCTTTCTGATTCGCTGTGTTCTAGAACTGACACTTTTTCACGCAGGAAGCAGGCAACAAGGCCTGATGTGCTAAGAGTAGTCATCAACAATGTCTAACCAAGTGCAAGTGCAGACAGGCAGAGAGGGAACCACGGAAATGGAAGACAGATTTACCAAGCACCCTGGAGCACAGCCCCTTCTTCCTGGTGAAGAAGTGAAGTATGGTAACCTAGGGGATAGTCCTCGTGTTTAAACTGGAGCAGAAACTTGGTCTCTTCTCTTATGGGTTCAAAGCCTCTTCCCAGCCCTCAATAAAATGACATATTGAAACCTTAACCCCAGTATAGGTCTTTGCAGATGCAATCAAGTTAAAATAAGACCATACTGAATTAGGTGGGCCCGTCCAGTATAAATCGTGTCCTTAAAAGAACTGGAGATAGACACACAGGGAGAACGCCATGTGACAACAGACTGGGGTGATGTATCTACAAGCCAAGGAACACCAAGGATTTCCAGGAATGACTAGAAGCTGGAAGAGGAAAGGAAAGATCTTCTAAAGACTTCAGGGGGTATGACCCTGCCAACACTTCGATTTCATGCTTCTGGCCTCCAGAAGCCTGAAAGAAAAAACTCTGTGGTTCTAAGTCACACAGTTTGTGGTACTTTTCTTACAGCATCCCTAAGCAACCAATTCACTTAACAAATGCCTTTTTTTTTTTTTTTAATTTCCCCCAGAATGGGTCCAGAATGGTGCGAGTGCTTTGGGCATCCACTCTTGCCTGGAGAGAGAAACACACATTTCCAGGAGGAGCATCGACCCAGGCAAGGGCCCACCTGGGATGGGGCTGGCCTCAAGATAAATAACATGGATGATGCTGAAAGTGCGGCAGAAGGTAAATCCATCTTTGGTCTTCTAAAACTAGAGCAAAACCATGTTACTCTGTTGAGAATGACCTAGTAGGTAGTGGTAACAAAATGTAATTACCGCCAGTTTTGAAACTTTGCACGTAATTGAGTGTAAAGGTTCAAATATTTATATTTGAAACATTATCCATGTTTTAATGAAGTCTAACTACATCAGTTTCTTGTTAATTTTGCTAAAGGATTTGTTTGTGCCTTAATAAGACCATAATTAGGCCGGCGCCACGGTTCACTAGGCTAATCCTCCGCCTTGGGGCGCCGGCACACCGGGTTCTAGTCCCGGTCGGGGCGCCGGATTCTGTCCCGGTTGCCCCTCTTCCAGGCCAGCCCTCTGCTGTGGCCAGGGAGTGCCGTGGAGGATGGCCCAGGTGCTTGGGCCCTGCACCCCATGGGAGACCAGGAAAAGCACCTGGCTCCTGGCTCCTGCCATCAGATCAGCGCGGTGCGCCGGCTGCAGCGCACCGGCCGCGGCGGCCATTGGAGGGTGAACCAACAGCAAAGGAAGACCTTTCTCTCTGTCTCTCTCTCTCACTGTCCACTCTGCCTGTCAAAAAAAAAAAAAAAAAAAAAAAAAAGGCCCTTATTTGGTTTAAAATTTTTTTCCAGATCTTTTTTTGAAAAAGGCAAATCTGTTTTTAGCAAAAATTACTAGTAACCTGTAAAGAGTAGTTACTCCTAAAGATTGTAGCATACAGAGAAGAGTCACTATTTTATCTTTGCATTGGTTGAATTTAAAAAAAAATAATTGAGGCCAGCTAGCATTGTGGCAAATCAAGTCCTGGCTGCTCCACTTCCTATCTAGCTGCCTGCTAATGTGCTTGGGAAGGCAGCAGAAGATGGCCCAGCTTCCGTGCCTGTGGGAGACTTGGATGAAGCTCCTGGCTCCTGGCTTCAGCCTGGCCCAGCCCTGGTTGCTATGGTCACTTTGGGAGTGAACCAATGGATGGAAGATCTCTATCTCTCCCTCTCCCTCTCTCTCTCTGTAACTCTGCCTTTCAAATAAATAAAATAAATAAATAAATAAATGTCCACTGCCTTTGTACTCAATAATTGAGAGTTTATGAGAAGACAGCCTCAGCCGCCACCTCTGTCAAAGTCCATCTCAGCTGCAGAAAGCGCCTTCCTGGGGAGCACATACTTTCCGGGGAGGCTAAAATTAGGTGAATGAAGAAAGTAGGAGCAGCAAGGCTCGGCACTGCACGCTGGTGTGGGACAAGACTGATCATTCACACTGATTCCAAAACTCTTGTTAGGCTGGCAACTTCTGCCTCTGTCCACACCTGGATCTGCCCTCCTCCCTTCCTAGGTCTTGATCCCGAGTAAGCGTCACCTCCAACTTTCACACATGCTTCAGCTTATGCAGAACCCAGTTTGCAACTCTCCAGGATGCAGCAAGAGAATCAGATGGAAGATAGGAAGAAAATGTTAAAAGAAATGGAGGAGGAATGAAGGAAGTCCAACATAAAATTGTAAGATGAAAGAAATAAAAAGCCATGCGAACTTAGGCATATTATAGTGACACTACAAATTAAGACAAAGAGAAGCAGCCAGAATGAAAAGACAGACCACTTGCAAAGATAAATGACAATCAAAAATAACGATGACAGCTAGAAAACAGTGGGATGATACTGATGTGCTTCCATGAGATGTCTGCCAACTGAGAATTTTAGGCTAAGGGAAACTATACTTCCATGATGAAGACAAAATGCAAACTACTGAAATGGTATCAGGGAGAAGTAGAAAATAGTGACTGAATTTATCCTGTAAAACTTCTCACAAAGACATGACATGGTCTTATATATGGGAAAGTCTAAGGTATCCATCAAAAAACCTATTGGACTTAACAAACAAGTTCGACAATATTATAAAATGTGAGATTAATATACAAAAATCTGTTTTTATACACTAGCAAAGAATAATTCCAAAATGAAATTAGGGAAACAGGTCTGTTTATAATAGCATCAAAAAGAAGAAAATGTTTAGGACTGGCCCGTGCTGGGGCTCACTAGGCTAATCCTCCGCCTTGTGGCGCCGGCACACCAGGTTCTAGTCCCGGTCAGGGCACCGGATTCTGACCCGGTTGCCCCTCTTCCAGGCCAGCTCTCTGCTGTGGCCAGGGAGTGCAGTGGAGGATGGCCCAAGTGCTTGGGCCCTGCACCCCATGGGAGACCAGGAGAAGTACCTGGCTCCTGCCATCGGATCAGCGCGGTGCGCCAGCCGCAGCATGCCGGCCACGGTGGCCATTGGAGGGTGAACCAACGGCAAAAGGAAGACCTTTCTCTCTGTCTCTCTCTCTCACTGTCCACTCTGCCTGTCAAATAAATAAATAAATAAATAAATGTTTAGGACTAAACTTAAGAAAATAAATTCAAGACTAGTACATGGAAAACTGCAAAGCACAATTGAAAGAAAGAAACTAATCTCTAAATAAATGGAAAGACGTACCATAACATTGGATTACAAGACTTGGTATTGTTAAGGTAGCATTATTTTCCAAATTGATTTACAGACCAAACAATCCATATCAAAATGTCACTTGGCTTTTATGCAGCTCAAAAGCTGATCCTAAAATTTGTTATGGAAATTCAACAACTCAGTATAACTAGTACAGTCCTGAAAACAAAAACAAAATTGCAGGACTCACACTTGCCTATTTCAAAACTTACTGCAAGGCCCAAGTAAACTAGACTGTGTACTATTGGCACAGGATAGATCAATGGGATATAATTCATAGTACATAATTTATATCAACAAGAGTGCCAGGAGGACCATTCAATGAGCAAAGAAGAGTCTTTTCAACAAATAGTTCTAGAACATATTCACATCTACATGCAAAAGAATGAAGGCAGACCTGCTACCTCACACCAGATGCAAAAATTAACTCAAAATGGATCAATGACCCAAATATACAAACTAAAGCTATGAGTTACTTAGAAACAGGCATACATCTTTATGACCTCAAATTCAGCAATAGTTTCTTAGATATGACACCAAAAGCTCAAAAAAATCAAAGAAAATAGGCAGATTGTGATTCACTTAGACTTAAAAAGTTCTGGGGCCAACACTCTGGTGTAGTAAGTAAAGCTGCCACCCGCAACACCAGCATCCTGTATTGGCACTGGTTTGAATCCTGGCTGTTCTTCCAATCCAGTTCCCAGCTAATGTGCCTGGGAAAGCAATAGGAGATGGCCCAAGTTCCTAGGTCCCTACACCCATGTGGGAAACCCAGAAGAAGCTCCTGGCTCCTGGCTTAGGATTGACCCAGCTCTGGCCATTGCAGCCATTTGGGAAATGAACCGCAGATGGAAGATCTCTCTCTCTGTCTCTCTCTGTAACTCTGCCTTTCAAATAAATTATATCTAAAAAATGCTACACAATAATAAATTTCATTAAAAATTTAAAAGTTCTGTACTTCAAAGAAAACTATTAGGAAAATGAAAAAATCACCTACAGAATAAAAGAAAATATTTGCAGGTTGTTATCTGCTAAGGGTCTAGTATCTAGACTGTATAAGGAACTTCTACACCTCAACAATAAAGACAACTCAATTTTAAAATGGATAGGAGCCAACATTTGGCACAGCAGTTAAACCACCACTTGGGAGACCCACATTCTTTATGGGAGTGCATAGTTAAAAGTCCCACCTCTACTTCCAGTCCAGCTGTCTGGGCGGCTGCAGGTGATGGCTCAAGTACTTGGGTCTCTGCCACCTGTGTGGGGTACACAGGTTGAGTTCCTGGCTCCTGGCTTCCGTTTGGCTGTGACCTGGATGCTGCTGCTACAGCCGCCATTTGGAGAGTGAAACAGCAGTGAGATTCTCCCTCTCTCCCTCTCTCCCTCTCTCTCCCTCTCTCTCCCTCTCTCTCCCTCTCTCTCCCTCTCTCTCCTTCTCTCTCCCTCTGTCTCCCTTTTTCTCCTTCTCTCCCTCTCTCTCCCTCTCTCTCCCTCTCTCTCCTTCTCTCTCCCTCTCTCCCTCTCCCTCTCTCCCTCCCTCTCTCACATTTCTAGCTCATCTTCCTCCTCATTTCAAATAAATAAATAAATAAAACAAAAATGGACAAATGATCTGAGTATACATTTCTCTGAAAAAATACAAATGGCCAATAAGCATATGAAAGGATGCTCAACATTATTAGTTGTTAGGAAAATACAGATCAAAACCACAATGAGATATCATTTCACATGCTCTAAGATAGATTGGCTACTGTGGCTGAGGACATGGAGAAACTGGAGTTTTTAAACACCATGTGGCATTTTAAAATGGAGCAGCCGCTTTAGAAAACTGTTTAGCAATTCCTCAAAAACTTAAATGCACACTCACCATATGACCCAGCAGCAGTCCCATTCCTAGGCATGCACCCAGGAGAAGTGAAAACACATGACCACACAAAACTTGCACATAAATGTTTATAGCACCATTGTTCATCACAGCCAAAAATACAAACAACCCAAATACCCATCAGTTGATGAAGGTTTAAACAAAATGTAGCATATCCCTACAATGGAATATTATTCAACTATAAAAGAGAGATTATGTTCTAATTATGCCATAAAATGTATGAGCTTTGGGGGGCTGGCATTTTGGCACCACTTGTGACAACGATATGCCTTATCTGAGTGTCTTTTTGACTCCTAGCTGGTCTGCTTTTGATCCAGCATTCCTGCTAATGTGCCTGGGAAGGCGCCAAATGATGGCACAAGAGCCTGGACTCCCGCCAGCCATTGGGAGACCTATATGGCTCCTGGCTTCAGCCTGGCACCGCCCTGACTCTTGTGGCCACTTTGAGAGAGAACTAGCAGATAGAAGATCTTTCACTCTTTCTGTCTCCCTCTCTCTATGTCACTCTGCCTTTCAAATAAATAAATCTTTTTTTTTTTTTTTAAAGAAAATGTGTGACCAGGGGCCAGCGCTGTGGCACAGTGAGTTAGGCCACCACCTGCAATGCCTGCATCTCATATGGTAGTGCATTCAAGTCCTGGCTGCTCCACTTCCAATCCAGCTACCTGCTAATGTGCCTGGGAAACCAGTGGAAGATGGCAAAACTACTTGGGCCCCTGCCACTCATGTGGGACACCCTGTTGGAGTTTCAGGCTCCTGTCTTTGGGTTGGCATAGGTGCAGCCCCAGCCATTGAGGCTATTAGGAGAGTGAATCAGCCCATGGAAAACCTCTCTCTCTTTCTCTTTCTCTTTCTCTTTCTCTTTCTCTTTCTCTTTCTCTTTCTCTTTCTCTTTCTCTTTCTCTTTCTCCTTCTCTCTGTGTAACTCTGCCTTCCAAATAAATAAATGAATCTTTACAATAAAAGTATAAATCTTGAAAACAACACGTGAAAGCAGCCAGACATAGCAGAAGGCCATGTATTACATGATGATTTATTTGAAATATCCGGAATAAGCAAATCTAAAGAAATAGGAAGTAGGTTTGTGGGCGCCAGTGCCTGGGAGACAGGAAGACAGGGCCTACATGCTAATAATTATGTGCTTTCTTCATGGGGTGAGGAAGTGCTCTGGAAGTAGACAGGGGTGATGGTCGCACAGCCTAGTGAACAGACTGAAAACCACTGATTGAACACTTACATGGTGAATAGAATGCGGTGTGAGTTACAGCTCAATAGACAAAAGGGAGGATATGTTTTAGGCAAGAAGAAAATAATCCCAGAAGAAAGACCTGAGGTGCAGGAAAGATTGGTGAACAAATAAATGTGTGAGCAGATCTAAACAAATACTGACAATATCAAACAAAACAGTAACACTTAATTTGTGGGATTTAACCAGAAATACTAAACATCTGTTCATAAAGCAGGCTGGTATTTGAAGGTTTTCATATAGTTCAAGAGGAAGGTATTAATTAATTTTAGAATTTGTTAAATGTAAATACTAAAATGCCTGGGGTGTTCATAATGTACACATAGAAAGTTTATCTTCTAAATGAGTAATATAAAAAGCCAGAAGGTGGGGGAGGGGAATAAGTTCAGTAGAAAAGGAAATTTAAAAAAAAGAGGAGTAAAAATATAGGAAATTCCAACAAAT